TGAGCTCTTCTAGGTTGGCCCCCATTGCCTCCACCAGAGTTAGGACTTGCTTGCGTAGGTCGACGCGCCTCCGCTCTCTGAGGCGCGCTGGGGCCTATGTGGGGCACATCCAGAGAGCGGGTCCCCAGGCCTCTGCGTTGTGGGGGGCCTCGGTGAGAGGGCTTCCGTGGTCGCAGTTAAATAGGATCCGCACTCAGGCCCTCCTGTCTCTGGCTCCTGCTAAGAAGGGGGCGTCTATGGGTTTGAAACTCAGCACTTTTAAGCAGGGTAAAACCATGGACCCCGTTCCGTTGTATTTCAAGCAGGTTGTTTTTGAATGGGCTCGGGCTGTATGGGATGGACTCCCCAGCTTAACGATCCTGCAGGCAGTTTTTGAGGACGCTGTTCGCTCACTTGCCACCACCAGTCGCCCGTGGTCGAGGGCGACGTCCCCTGCGCACGTCTTTGTGATTGCTTGTGGGGATCTGGGATGGGAAGCGAGATCAGCGCGCCTCATTGTTCTCTCGACGGGCGAGCAGATTGACTTGCTCAGGCTCTCGCCGTCGGTGGTTGCCACTCTCGCCCAGCAGGCTGCCAGAGAGATGTCGGATTTTCGTGCCCTCGAGGCTCGTGTGGGTTCGTCGTCGTGGTGTCGCCCTGTGTTTTGGCAGCCGCTGGACTCTTTGTTCGCCAGGAAAAGTGATTCCTGGGACAGGACCCATAAGAATTCTCTTAGGGCCGCGGTCTCGGGAACTCACTGGACCCAGGACCGTCTGCAGCGGCATGGATTGGTGTCGTGCAACCTTTGCAGGCTTTGCATGGGGGCCCCAGGGACCACGTTCCACCGAAGATTCGTTTGTGAAGCTTGGGCTGCTGATCGCTCTCATTTCTTATCGGATGAAGCGTTAGAAGCAGTCAAGCTAATTCGGCGGCTTGGTGACCCTGGGGAGTTTTTTGCTTCGGGCATTTTCCCGTCTCCCAGGGAGCTGGCCCCCCCGCCCCTCAGGTCCGAAAGGTGCCAGGTCTTCTGGATTCGGAGGCCCGAGGGCGGCCTTTTGTCTGGCAAACTTTTTACCGATGGCTCTGCCATTTTCCCCTCGGACCCGCTCCTAAGAAGAGCAGGGTGGGCGGTGATCTCGGTCGACGACACTGGTGCCATGATCTCTGGAGCTTTCGGCCCCGTCCCTTGGGATGTTGCTCCTCTCCAGCTCGCCAAGGATGGCGAGGATTATGCGTATCAGATGCTCGGCCAGATCGCTATGAACCCCGAGGGGGTGTGGACCGATTGTGCAGCTGCGATTTCCTGTGCGCGGTCGAGAGTTCGCTCCACGAGTGCCCGTTGTGGCCAGGCTCACATGTGGACCTCTGTGCATGCGGCCTTCGAGGATGGGCTGGTCGTCCACAAAACGAAGGCCCACTGCACGGAGGCGGACATGGAGCGAGGGGTCACCACTCGTTGGGAGCGTAAGGCTAACGCCATTGCCGACGCCCTCTCGAAGCGAGGGGCAGGTATGCACCCTTCGGTCGATCAGGCCGCCCGTGAAATCGCCGGTTTAAGTCTCTTGGGGCGGGGGCTGGGCCAGTGGGTTGGGCGGCAGGGGATTCTGATGCGGGAGCGGGGGTGGGTGGACTCGGAGGGCCTGCCCGATAAGCGCTTGGGGCCTGGTTCGGGACCTCGCCAGGGCCGACCCCTTGAGCGCCCCACCCCCCCCGTGTCTGTGCGTTTCAGGGCAGTGTTGTCCGTCATTGCCCATTCGGGGCCGTGCGATCCCGAGCTTGCAATTCTGATGAGGCTGTCTCAGCACAACTTGCGAGTCTGCCATGTTTTCGATCAGACGGGAGCCTCCGTTGTCTCCGCCCCGCGTATTGTGTGTTGTATCTCGTGTGGTGCTTACGCGTGGGGCGGGGTCAGGGAGCTTGCCGTTCGTGAGTGTCATGGTCACAATGCGGGGAAGGGGCTCAAGCAGCAGCGTTCACGTTTGCTCGCGGGTCTCTTTCCCAGGTGGCTGAATAAGTACAAAGGCTGGAGTGTTAGCTGTCTCGAGCGCCCCGTCCCAGGTGATCTCCTGGACTTGGCTCGGGCGATTCTGGACCGTCCCCAGGCGCGGGTGACGGCGCCTGCCGCCCGAGCCGTTTTCCCCAGGGGACCGCCATGGCAGGTGCCCATGGGGCGGGGCACTCTCCTCGCCCGCTACGGCCTCACGGTGGACTCGCTCCCGTTCTGGGGGCAGGAGGCCGCCCGCCGGGGCGCGGGGGTGGAGGAGGATTTGGTTTAATGTGTCTCCGTTTTTATCCCAGCGGTCGGTATCTTGGACGCCGTCCGCCCTCGTCTTATCTTATCTTAGTCTTTCTTCTCATCTTGCTCGCCCCCCTTTCTGTGCTACCCAACCGTTGGGTCATGCAGTGCTGCTTTATTATCCTGATGTTGTTGTGGCTGAATTGTGTTGCTGCTGTGCTCACTGCCGTGACCTCCTATGTAGTGCTCGTCATTGTGCATGCGTGCTCTTAGTGCTACCACTGCCGTGACTGCGTTTGCAATGCTATTGTAATGCACATCGGTTTCACGTTTCCTTGTTTTTGGGGCGGGCTGGATGGGGATGATGACGAGGATGATGAGGAGGCTGAAGGAGGAGGAGGAGGAGGAGGAGGAGGAGGAGGACCCTGCTTCAGTGCACACTCTGAGCATAATCCCATGCAGTGAGCTGGCTGGCTGACGCTCGAAACGAACAGATCACTTCTTCGAAACTCGTTTGGTCCAGGCCTCAACGATCATAACACAAAAAGGCGTGGCGTTGCTTTTGGCGACCTCCTTTGACAAACCCTGCTTCAGCGAATACTTGATGGTTTGCACGTAGGCTTTCGAGTGGACACGGTCTTTCACGACTTTGAACTCGCTGGGCTCAAAATCAAGGTACTTGCTGAAGTCGAATTTCTCCACATCCTGAGGGCGGTTGTAACGGGAGGGTGAGGGCTAGAATGAGGCTCAGTAGGAAGACGATGCCGTAGATGAGAAGGTGAAGGACGGAGGAGAGGAGGAGGATGAGAGGGGGACGGACGAGGAGGAGGAGGAGGAGGAGGAGGAGGAACAGCAGCAGCAGCAGCAGGAACAGGAGGAGCAGCAGCAGCAGGAAGAAACGACACGTGGTTGTGACACCTAAACTTTCATGCATGTTCGATGCTTGATGTTATACCCAAGCTTTTTTTGCACTGGTTTGTTTCACTACCCAGTCCTGCTCCGAGAGAGTCTCCGCTGTGACTGCTGTAGCCGCCGATGGTGCATGAAGAGATGGCGTAGCCGAATGCGATGAGGCGCCGAAGCTCGTCTTGGACGTGCGGCGCCTCGCTGGTTTGCTGTACGGAAGCGTCTTCGACTCCGAACCCTTTGTGCTGGCATGCTTCTGCTGCTTGAACTTGCTGCAGTCTGCTGGCAGAGGCCCAATGTTGTCGGACTTGCCCTTGAATGCGAGTTCCCTCAGCTTCTGAGCGGAAAGAACACTAGACGACTTCACGCTCGTCGAAGGCGTTCGAAACAGTTTCTGCTCAAGCTCATCGAAGTCATCGTTGATGTCCTCATGCTTGTGGTCGTCATCGAAGTCATCGTTGATGACCTCCGTTGATGTCCTCGTTGCCTCATCACCGTCGTCCCCAAGCAAGTCGATGATGGGAACCACCTTTGCCTTGACTGGCACCTCCTCGACCTCGCTGTCACATGCTTGCTCTGGATCTGATGGCTTCGGAACTGCTGGCTCTGGAACTGCTGGCTGTTGATCTGCATTTTTCTCGTCGCCGTCGAGCGCGAGCTTGTCGATGATGATCTGAAGCTCCTCGCGGCCCTTGGGGGCCTTGCAAACGTTGCGCCTCAAAGACAGTAGTGAACTCATCATCGTCCTCAGGTGAAGCACTGCCCGTTCGCTGTCTGCAAGGGACCAGTTCATCGAGTTGTCACGTAACCACTTGTCGAACTGCTTGTGGAGCTTCTTCTGGTGCGGGATCCTCCCAGACGTCCTGTCAACGATGGCGTTGATGAGGCTGTAGTTCTTCTTCACCACGTGCCACTGGGAAGTGAGGCCTTGCTTGGAGATTCTGTCCAAGCGCCACAACTTGGTAGGCTGACAAGTCGCCATGGGCACGTGGTCCGACAAAATATCATCACAAATGTCGTCCGAGAGGTCGGCTCCCTTGGTGCGTGGAGCCTTCACCATACTTGCTTGAGCCCGAAAAAGCTATGACTTCACGGGTTTGTGCAGTGATAGTGGCGTTGCGCTCGTGTGGTCAAGCACCACGTGCCAGGGCCATCACACCAACACCACACCACCATCACCACTACAGAACGACCATACCACCAACACAACACAGCGCCACCATTTTGGCGTGGTTGTCGCGTGGCGGTGGTGTGGTCGTGCATTGTGGCGTTGGTGGTGCGGTGGTTATGTGATGATGAGAAGCCTTAGTGGTGTGGTGGTGTGGTGCGTTTCCATGGTGGTGCTGCGGCTGTAATGTGGTCTAGTTGTTATGTGTTGGGGTGTTGTGGCCATCAATGGTGTTGCGTATCTCCCCGAGAAATCTCCAAGAAATCCCCAAGAAATCCCCTGCAACGCTAGTCTGAATTCCCCAAGAAGGAAATAAAAGAGACGGCCTGCTCGACATCTTTAAACCCTCGTTTTGAATAGAGCCTTGTGGTGTTCAATATTTCAGGCTTGCTTTTTGAAGATATTTGATGTTTTGAAGGGCTGATCCAAACAATTACTCTACATCTGCCTTCTATTTCTGCCTTGATGCATGATATCTTTAAGTTCCTAAAGGTTCTTCTCTATTCGAAAGATCCTGAGCGTTTGGGAACGGGGAGCCGGGAACTGGGAATCGGGAACCGGGTAATGGGGAACCGAGAACCGGGAACCGGGAACCGGGAACCGGGAACCGGGAACCCGGGAATCGGGAACCGGGATTTCGTTGATTCACAGACCTTACTTGCGCGGCCCGAGGGCGGTGCCCGGGACGAGGGGGTGTAGCCCGCGGGGGGAGGCGTGCCCGATCGACGAGGAGGCGGCGGCCGAGCTGCGCAGCCTCCGCGGGGCGTCCGCCGCGGCGGCGCCGGCGGAGGGGCTCACGGCGGCCAGTTCGCTGATGTCAGTGGTGGGCTGTGGACGGCGTCGACGGTGGCGGCGGCTGCTGATGCTCGCTGGCGGCGGCGCGGCTCTCAGACCACACAGGTACACAGGCTCTTCGTTTGTTCTGCCTCTGGGGGGCTGTCCTCGTGGCCCAGGACCGTCCACAAAACGTTCCGGGGTGAAAGCGTGCCTTTGGGAAGGATCAGGAGCTTGATTGAGAAAGCATGGCATGTCTGGGCTCGCGCTGCTCCCCCCCCCTCCCTGGACGCCAGGGTCGAGTCGGGGGTGCCAGATACGCAGCGTACGCCTGCACAGATCCTCCTTCCTTGCCGCCGCCGCCGCCGCCCTCGTTGTCCTTGTCGTCCTCGTCGTCTTCGTCGTCTTCGTCGGATGATTTTTCCACGACCCCGGGGCCCCCGAGCACGAATGCAGCGCCTGAAGCTTTCTCGGGATTACTGGGGCCTTGTGGACGCGGTATGCACGATGGCAGACGAAGGGGGGTTCTCGGGATTCTTGTGATTACTTGGGCTGGTGGCAGGATTTTCTTTGTGTCTAACCGCCTCCATCTCGAGCGGGGCAAAGCTGCAGCGCAGCCCAACACTTCAATGAACAAGGAGTCCGAAGCTGAAGCAACATCCTTACGTTCTCAAACGCCTGATCTGCAGCTAGCGCTTCTTGTGTGGTGACAGTCAGTGAAGCCATGCATCCAGTAGGACGCGTGGGCGCAACTAAGCAGACACGCCAGATGCGCGCCAAATCGGGCGACAGACACGCCAAACGCGTGGTCACGCGGCTGCGACGCGCCAAACGCGCGCTGGGAGGACGATGACAGGAGGAGGGAGATGACGAGGAAGATGACAATCATAATGCATGACAAATATTGTGTCATCTCATAAGTCAATCATGTTGACAAAAATTGTGCACTTCTGAAGTCCACTGCTGTTTCGGCCGGCCGCGACGCCGATGCTCCACCCAAGTGTTTGGTGTACCATCTCGTTGGCATACCATCTGACGTACGAGGGACACAGGGCCGCTAGATATTTCATGGTACATTTTTTCCTGCCCAATGACAGTTACTTGAGAAAGGGGTTCGACGCTGGCCATGTCTAGAACGTATGAGTTTGTTATTCCTGGAATTAAAAGAAGGCTGGATACTCAGAATGCGCCTCAAACGCTGGCAGTGGAACGCATCGAGCCTGCGCCGGTCAGCTTGTAATAGCCAAAGGGAACCGAGGGAATGTCAAAATTTGCCCAGGACGCAACTGTCGTACACTTTGTATTTTCCTTTCTACCCCAATGCTGTATGGGATCAGATACTTGCGAGCTGCTTGAAAATGCGTTGCTCTTCGCCGAGGTTCCAGGTGACCTCTGGCGCCGCTTTGCCATCGCAAGTAAGCATTCCACCCAGATGCACTGCTTCCCAGACCACCTTGATAGGGCCTCCACCAAGGCGCTCTGCCGCATCGTTCGTCGAGATATGCGTTCGGATCGTTTTGTCCCACTTGATTTCAAGACCATATTTCTACTTTTCCAGTACAATAGTGTTCAGCATGCTTTGAATATTCGCTTTGCTGTGTAAAGCCAACAACGCGTCGTCTGCGTACAAGATGTCTCGTGTTACTACGTCAGCCGGCTCAGCCCCAAAATCAACATTGTGAAAAGCATCATCAAGCATGACTGACTGCACAGCATTGAATACATAGGGTGAGAGAGGGCATCTTTGAGCGATGCATGCAATTTGTCGCCTCTCGCTTGATTTCTCGGTATGGTCGATAATGGTGAAGATGCGCTCGGCATACATAATCATCTCGATCATGTCCACCATATCTGCAGGGAACCCAACCTGGTGCAGGGCGTCGTACATGCTTTCTGGTTTGAGCCTGTCGAACGCCTTGGCCCAATCCAGCATTTAAAGAATAAGGCCACCGTGCTGGTTGGTATATGCAGCGTCGATCATGCGCCGGACAAGCATGAGCGCGTCTGCTGTCCCACGCCCGGGGCGGAAGCCAAACTGAGAGTCGCGCGTGCCGGCTTCAGCACCACCGCGAATCAGCCGTTTATGTAACATTGGAGCGAGACTTGTATATCCAATCTGTAATAATGAAATGGGCTTGTAGTTTGCTGGCAATGCTATATGTCCTTCTCTAAAAAAGAATTACGTTCACACGCTCCAATAATCTGGAATTGATTTTGGATCCTGGCATTTTTGACATAAGTGAAGCATAATGGCAGAAGCGTCCCGGTGCGAATCGAAGATTTTCCAGAAGTCTGGGGGGATGAAGTATGGCCCAGCAGCTTTCCCAAGCCGTAGGAGGCGCAGCGCATCAATCACTTCCTTCATGGCGAATGTCATTGTGTTAGTCGGCAGTGTCTGTCGTATGGGTGCACGCGCTTCTGTGGTTAGCTCTGGTAACCGGAATTGCCATTGGACATCTTCAACATAATATGCCAATGCGCCTGGCCGATCAGCCGTGTTTGCGAGTGATCCATCAGGCCGTTTGACTGTCGCATGCTTTGTGTTCTTTGGCTTGTTCAAATAGCGAATCCCTTCCCAACCGCCATTTTGCAATAGCATTCTAGAACTCCTAGATGGGGTCGGAGCAGATGGGGTCGGAGGATCGCGCCGCATCGCAGGTGCATCCCCGATGCGGCTCGATGTGCAGCCCGATTTGTGTTACGTCGACGTCGCCGATGCATCGCCAACGTCGATAATGCATCGCCGGTGCATCGCCGATGCATCGACGATGCAACGCCGATGTATCAGCGATACGGCGCGATCCTCCGACCCCATCTCCTCCGACCCCTTCTAGGAGGCCTCTAAGCATGTCCAGCCATGCTCGTCGATCTTGCGCTCCCGATTGACGGATCGATGTATGCAAACGTTTCTTTGCATCGTGGTCTCCAGCTGTACGAGCGGCTTTTCTTTGTTCAATTAGAGCCAGCGTGCGTCGACTGGTCCACGCCTGCTTAGGAGTAAATTCTCCTTTGGGCAAAATTTCAGAAGCTGTTTCAAAATCATGTCGGATCAGGCTGTTCAGAACCTCGACGGAATCGATTCTGGCACACATCGCGTGGGTATGGTTTTTATTTATCCCATCGTTTTTTTGGTATTTTTCGTTTTTTGTTTTTTATTGTTTCCCCCCCCCTGTCGGTGTTTGTGGGGGAGGGGGGTCCGGAGTTTTTTGTTGTCCCTCCCCCCTCCCAGGGGTTGGGGAGTGTGTGTGTGTGTGTGCGTGCGTGTGTGTGAGCCATTTTTTTTCCCCTCGGACTCCTATTTTTTCCCTCGGCGTTTTGTTTTTTTGTTTTTTTTTTTCTTCTCTGTTTTCCCTCGGAGTCTTCATTCTTTCCCCTTGGTGGGCCTGGGATGCGCTGTTTCTTTCTTTCTCTTTCCCCCTCGGGGTCTGTTTTTTTTCTCTAGTCTCTCTTTTTTTTTCCCTCGGGGGAGGGGTGGGGAGGTGTGGTGCCACGGGGGCGGTGTGGTGCCACGGGGGGCGGAGGTGTGATGCAACGATGGGGTGGCCCAGGATCCTCTTCAATTAAGCAGCCAATGATTGCGAAGACGACGATGGCGTGAGTGGCGATTCTCTCACAAAAGGACGGTTTCGCTGGAGGTGGGAGTCAAATCGCCGGCATCGGCATCGTCGTGGGATCTATAAAAACGGGCGTTTCGCTAGGCGCATCGTCAAGAAGTCGATGGTCACAAAAGAATGGATGGAAGATTATGCCGGTTCGCTCCTCGATACTCTTGAAGATTGACAACAGTGAACACATAGAAGTTGCTTTTGTTATGTGTGCGATACTGTTGCCAAAAAGGCGTTTCGCTAGAGATTTTCTCGCACGCATGCCGCTGTCGGATGGCCTCCTAGATCTTCAAAAGAGGAGGAGGAGGTGGTGGAGGGGGAGGAGGAGAGGGAGGAGGAGGAGATGGTGGAGGAGGGGGCTGGAGAACGGGCAGGAGGATGAGGAGGTTGACGAGGGAGGAGTGCGAATTAGATGAGAGGGATGATGAGGAGGGTGGAAAAGTAGAAGGAGGAGGAAGATGAGGAGGAAGAATAAGCTGTGGAGGTGAAGGAGCTGGGGGGAGGAGGGGGAGGAGGAGGAGGAGGAGGAGGAGGAGGAGGAGGAGGATGAGGAGGAGGAGGAGGAGGAGGAGGAGGAAGCAGCTGTCTTGGGCTCCATTGGTTATGGGGGCAAGGTGCACGGCTCCTGCAACACATCTTTGCGAGAGGCGCGGGCCATGCAGGCTCACGTCCAGAGTTTCAGCCTTGCGGGAAAAAGCATCACTCTCATGCTCATGTTGTCTGACAAGCCCATGTGCGACCCAGCCTTTCGTCTGCAGTTAGATCCGCTCATTGCGTTTGATTCGGCTGTCTGGGATTTTATCTTCCCTCGGCTCTTGCTTCTCCAAGGGCTCCAGGAGGCCGTGGCCGCCTTCCAGGACCATGGGAACCCGTGGGCCGCCATTCGCGGTCCCTTCACGGCCTGCGCGGCCACGGCCAAACGTCTGGGGTTTAGTATCAACGGCCCTTTCTGGATCCATGACAGGGTCGGCAGCGTCGATGTGCTGCAACAGTCGCCCCGCACCATTCGTGCCTGGCTCATCCGTGTCATTCAGCATTGGTTGTGGAGCAAGGTCGCCGTGCGTGAGGGGGTGCCCGAGCTTGCCAACGGGTGCGACCTTGCTCCACTCCTTTCTCTCCTGCGTGGTCATGCCCTCGCGCCGCAGGAGAAAAGGTTATTTGAGATCGGCTGTCGCTGGATGGCAGTGGCCACAACATCGACAGTGGCGGCACGGACTCTCCGCAGATGGCCTCTGCCTGCCAGAACAGCCCAGGCACACTTCTGCACAGACACGGAGCGTGTGGCATGCACGAGGATCTGATGCAGGCTTCCCGACCACCCGCTTTTGTGTTCGGCCTCGTTCGAGCTGCCGCTGAGCCGCTTCCGCTTCTCTTCGCCGAGAAGCTGCTCGTGCCGATTGCTGTGCCCCCCCCTCTTCCGTGGCTCCTGCGAGGTGGTTTGGAG